TTTGTATATTTATGAAATTTATTGTTTTAATTGCAAATATACTACTAACTTTTACTGTTTTTGATGTTCCTATATTACATTTATTGATGTTCCTAAATTACATGTATTGATGTTCCTAAATATACTAAATTTATTGTTTTGTATATTTATTGATGTTCCTAAATTACATTTTTTTAGTCTTTTATAAATAGTTTATGTATAGTTTTATTTTGAATGTCATGTTTTGGCAATTTTATTTAAAGTTTAGTCATTCATGTAAAATGGTCTATTTTGAAGGAGCTCAACTATAGCCCATAAAAGGGAAAAATCTTTTGTTCTGGTTGGTAACTCTTCATCACTACTAAATAGAGTTCAACTTAAAAATATAAAAGCCATACTTGTGTTTAGCTGCTAATAGAAATTTACTTACCTATTTCTGAATATTTCAATTCTCCTAACATTTTTTTTTTTTTTTTTGGGGGTTTATGATTTTAGTGAACTCTTACTTAAATGCATAATAAGAGTAGTGTGTTCATTGTAATTTGATTAAAAACCTCAGTGCACTTTCAATTATCCCTTACTTTTCTAGGTATTAAGGCTATGTTTGGTAGACAAATAAACTAGCTTATAGCTTATTTGATTAGCTTATAAGCTCCCTGTATTCAATGATTGGTAGGACGAACTTTTTTAAAAGCTCGAGCTTATTTGATAAGAAGATTCCTTAGGTAGCTTTTCAAATAAGCTAGTTGAATTTTTAATTATAGCTAGCTTATCATCTAATTTTTACCAAACACTTTTATCATATAAGCTAGAGTATCAGCTATAAGTTATAAGCTATAAGCTAAAAAATTACAAATAAGCTATAAGCTAACTTATCAGCTAGTTTTACCAAACATAGCCTAAGAGGAAATAGTGTGTGCAAATCATAAATGAAGGGTGGGATTGGATATAAGATTTCTCAAAATTTCTTTCTCGTTTGTAAAAGGTGAGATGAAAAAGTGGAAACAATATTGAGATAAACTTGAGACTGTGAATGTATATTAGATGAAAATATAATGATTCAAGATGATACGATTCAAATATAATAGAATGTTGATTGATAGTGAGCGAGTGATTAATGTTTTAGGATGGAAAACATATAATAATGATCGGTTTTTATGTTCTAATTGTGTTAGAACTTAAAAGTATTGTAGAGAATCAAGTTTAATGCAGCTGCAAAAGAAAGAAACAAAAGTGACAACATATTAGTTTGAATAGAAAAGTATCATGTAGATTGCAGCAGACTTAGAAAAGAATGATGAAATAAAAACTGAGTCGAAATTATCTTCTGGTTGACAAAAATGACTAAGTGATGAAACCGACGCCAAGGTTAGTGATGCAATTTGATTATTTTATCAATGTCAACGAAGAGAAAAGGAAGCTTCAATTTTGATTTCTGTGTAACACTAAATATAAGAAATTAAGATTATGCATGTTACCTTTGAAACTTGCAAACACCTCTTGATGAGATACTAGTGATTTTTTATTTTTTATTTTAATTATTATTTTATTTACAAGAAACAAAGATTCAATTTGCACTCGATCAAACCAAAAAAAGAAAAGAAAAGAATATTTGTGCTTCACTTACTAGTTACTTATGTCTAAAAACAGGCTTATCGCAAGCGTCGACACTGTTCCAGATGCTCTACTTCCTGTGTAAGATTTTTACCACATCTTCTCTTTAGCCCAAAATTAACCAAAAAACAAAATATTGTGGTTCTATACATAGTGTAATTGCAAAAGAAAAAAAAAATAAATAAAATGCAAGAATGTTCTATGTATGCAGGACGAGAGGTCCGGCTGATGTGGGCTGGGACAGGTGGTTCCAAGGAGCCCATTCCTCAAGAAGCCGCAGGCGATGGATTTGAAGGCTTTTTTTCTCATTCGAGTTGCTTTGCGTTTTCTTCATATCAGGATCTGGGGTTCGTTTTTGTGTCCATTCGTTTACACTGTTAACACGTGAAACAAAAGGGTTCTTGAAGTCAGCTGGTGAATAATTATGTTTTGATTTTATGAACCTGTAAGGTTGTACCTGCACAATTACGGAGCTGTACTTGGTGTAGAAAATAATATGAACTATTATGTTTACAAAATGACTTGCGACTTTCCTTTAATGTCGTTTAGAAAATAATTTTTTATCTTGATTCTTTTTCTTTTCATATAAAATTATATTGAATTTTTGTTCATATAAAAGTGTCATTATTATTTTTATTCAAAATGACACCAATCGCTCTGTAAGATTCACTCATATTGGGTTATAATATGTTTTCTAACTCATATTATATTATGTTTGATGTGTAATTTTATTTTAATGGATCAGTACAAATTTTATTAATATTATTTTCTCATTAAGATCCATAGATTTTTTATTTAAAAAGTTATATACATATAATCATTTGTTTATGTTATATGTGCAATTTGTTATATGTTATATGTGCAATTTAAATATAGAGATACATGGATTGATTGATTGATTATTTCAATTATAATTAATATGTTATAATTGTTGTTATATTTATAATTTATCACATAATCTAAAATGTAAATGCATATTTGATTTTTCTAGTCAAATTTTAAAGGCTGCTAAGACTTTAAAATCAGACTTTTCCTTATATGTAATTTGTTTATTTTATGAATATTAGTGAACTAATTAAAAGTTGACTAATTAGAAATTGGCTCCAATTCTACATATATACACGGTCTCCACAAGCATGATACATAATAGCTGAGTGGGAAATAATGAAGAAAGGTATGGATTCATCAACAGGTGATGAAACTGAGTCGAATAGTGATGATACTGAGTCGAATATCCCTAAAGCCGCTGACGACAACCTCCACCAACACCGCCATCATCGCTATTTTCCGGGCACAACCGTAAATGTCGTGTTGCTATTTGTGGCGTTAGGCCTAATTTGTTTGGCTCTCAATCAATCCTCAGACTCTACTGCGCAGTTATTTCAAAAGTTACGACGTTCAACATCATGGCCTAAACAATCTGTAGCAAATGCAAACTTGTCATCTCAAAATAATGTTTCGTCTGAAAAACCAGATTCTCAGGTGAGTTGTATGGTATATATATATATTGTGCTACTTGATGGTTTTCTTGAATGAAATTTGAATTTTCTTATTATCTGCTATTTTCTATGATCAAGATTTCAATAAATCATTCATTATATATGTGTTGTAGTGCTGAATTAATATTCAAAAGGGTCTCTTAATTTTTTATTTAATTTAGAGAGGAAGTGATTATTTTTTGTTATTTGATTTTGGAGTATTGTATTTACTTTACATTATACAACCCGTTTGTATTTCTTAGTTTTAATATATGTATATATTTAAAATGTGAAAATAAAAACAAAACAAAAAAAAAAAGTTTTTGTTTAATGTTGTAATAAATTTATTATTATTTTTCAATTAGAAATGATAAATAATTTATTTGTTTATTTATGAGATTGTATACAATTATTTTATATTTTATGTATTCAATCTGAATGTCATATATAATCGTAAAAAGGTAATTGGTTTTTATAAGTCAAAAGTAATAAATTAATAACAAATACAAAAGTTATTACGTTTTACAATATATTTATAAATTAAATTAATTTATTATGTTATATATAACTTATAATACATAATAGATATAGATAAAAATGTGAATATAATATTACAAATTAAAATATATGCAAAAATATATACAACGCATTTAGATGAAAAATATATGCAAAACAAATAAATGGTGGGAATTTTAAAGATAGTATAAATGGACACAAATAAGTGTAAGGGGTGGAAATTCAGAAATATTACTACCATTAAATTATCTATGTATATATATAATTGCTGGCAGTAATAAACAAAACATAATTAATAAAATACCTATATGTTTCCGCACATTTTTTTCAATTAATGTAGAACCGTTGCATATTACATTAATAACGCGTAAATCATTTTAAACAAATTTATTCTTTGATAGTTACTACTAATACTAATTAATTATAAATTTACATTAAGTACTATGTGAAAGTTAAATACTTATAAAAAAATTATATTGCAATTTTTTTTCTCTTTTAAGATACTTATTTTTTCATCTTATTAAGTGATTTTTCTCTAATATTAGTTAGTTGGCATGGGTGTCATAACTAAATCCCTTACACGATTTCTGTAATAATAACAAAAATAACTGTAATATTGTTCTAATTAATTACGTATGGTCCCTCTAAATTACAAAATTACATTGTTCTAAAATTTGAGTCACAATACAAGACTCAAATGTCAGTTAAAATAATTTTTATTTATATTGTACACTTGTATGAAGTCAACAATTTTGAGATGTAATACTCCATTATTTAATTAAAATTTTAAATATCTATATCTATATATATATATATAAAGAATTACTATTTACTAAAAATAGTAGCAAAAAATTAGGAAACGTTTAATGCATACTAATTTTGGAAATTTTTTAGATATATGTATTAATTGCTTTTATTTACATGTTTTCAAATAAGATCAAATAACATATAATGAAATAATTACTTCAATAAATTTATTAATATTTGCAGTATTTTCATTGATATTTATTATAATAAAGTACAAGAATAATTTCCGTGGTTCATGTTGATAATATTTTGGTCAAGATAAATATTATTTCATTAATATTTGTAATACTTTCATTGATATTCATTATAATAAATTACAAGATTGATTTCTGTGATCCATGTTGATATATTTTACCCAAGATAATATTACACCATATTTTAAGTTCTAACCATAATATTAGTTTTTTTTTCACAAATATTCACTTTTTATCCAAAAATATTTATGGAAAATCGTAACAGGTTAGGTAGAATTTTTCCAAGTAATTAGACAAAATCAAGTTGGTGAATTAATCTTTGCTAATATAGTTGTTTCTTAAGCTTTATTTTGTTAAATATAAAAAATAAATCGTTCTTCAAATCAATATAATTTACCATTTAAAAGATAATGACCAGATACAATAAATAGTTTTTCTAATGGTAAAAAATTAAAATTGAAACATATTAACTATTGTTTAGAATTTATTTGTATATTATTGGCACCCATGATTATATTTTTTCATTCTTTTTAGATTTATTTATAATTAAATTCTTGTAAAATATATTTTCATTGCTGAGTACGCTATATGAACCATAAAACCTTATAATGCGAATTAGAAAAATCTTGATCATAGAGGAGATTGAGTTTTGGGATTTTCTAAATCAAAGTTGTTTAATTAGTATATAAAATTAAATTCTAAAAAAATATGTGTATATTTTGTAAAATATTTATACACTATGTAATATTAAATTTATTTACGTATTTTAAATTGATTACATAAATAAATAATACTAACGTGCATTAAATATTTTTCATTACATAAAATAAAAATAAAAAGAAGACGTACAACTTCTACAACTTTATAAATAATGATGAAATTATATGACATAAAGTATATAATAAAATAATAATTAAGTATTATATGGTGAACAAGAATAAGTAAAATTGTTATTCTCTCTTATATCAAAAAATAACTATATATACTAAAATCAAATTTAAATTAGGATAAATGTTTTAGTGAAATAATATAATAATTATTTTAATATTTCGACTAAAAAAATAACGTTGATTAAAAGAGGTGCAAAATATATTATAACCTCATTGTTTATTATATTTAACGCTGATTAAAAGAGATGTAAAATAGATGATATCCTATTGCTTTATATACTTAAACGGACAAAGCATGTGAAGATAACTCATTTAATATTTATGTCTCGTGCATCGCACGGGGTGCGTACTAGTTTTATAGACAATATATAAATTTTTATTTGGCACATAAATAGATACTAGTTACAGTTAATTAATAGTAATAATGTATCTTTTTTAATTAATTAAAATAGGGAATAATTTTCGCCACAAATTCGAGTTCCAACTGAAATGATCATTAAACCCACGTAGCACATTAACTGATTACAATTTGGCAAAAAAAAAGGGGTAAATAAGTAAATCCTCCAAATTTAGTTGTAGATTAAATTGTTCCATTTTCATATTTCATGTCGTGTTTAATTCTCTGAATAAATGACATGTATACATGATCTTCCATATTTAAAAAAAAAAAAAAAGAAATCAATTAATGAATATCATCATCTCTAGTAACATTTCATAAACCATTTTTATTTCTAATAGTTTTCCGTCTTAACAAGAATTTTATGTATCGTTTTGAAAAAAAAAAGGGTAAATAAGTAAATCCTCCAAATTTAGTTGTAGATTAAATTGTTCCATTTTCATATTTCATGTCGGTGTTTAATTCTCTGAATAAATGACATGTATACATGATCTTCCATATTTAAAAAAAAAAGAAATCAATTAATGAATATCATCATCTCTAGTAACATTTCACAAACCATTTTTATTTCTAATAGTTTTCCGTCTTAACAAGAATTTTATGTATCGTTTCGAAAAAAAAAAAACAAGAATTTTAATTTTATTTTGCAAAAAAATAATATTATTAGGTAAATTCAGAGAACATGACGCTCGAGGAAACACTGAGAAGAGCAGCCATGAAGGACAAGAAAACGGTGATCATCACGACCCTAAACGCGGCGTGGACTGAACCGAAGTCCATATTGGACCTCTTTATCGAGTCCTTCAAAATTGGAAACGGAACCGAAAAGCTATTGAGACATGTCGTGGTTGGGGCATTGGACCAAAAGGCATATTCTCGTTGTTTGCAAGTGCCATTTCTCCATTGTTATCGCCTTACAACACAAGGCGTTGACTTCTCCGGCGAAGCTTTCTTCATGTCAGAAGATTATTTGAAGTTGGTGTGGAGAAAGATTGATTTTCAACGCGAGGTTCTCGAGTTAGGATTTGACTTCGTTTTCACGGTATAACCATGCACCTTTTTGGTATATATTGGGAGATTCTACGGTCCTGTTACGGACCATTCCATCGTGGTTTGTAACCGTTAGATCAACTATACACGACGGTTACATTATGATCTAACGGTTACAAACCCCGACGGAATAGTTCCGTAACGGGACCGTAACATTTCCCCTTATTAATATCCATTGAAAAGTTCTGCTTTTGAATTAGCCGAATAAAACGCCATTTTTGGTTGAACAATCCAAAACATAACTTTGAAAATGACTCAAAGCTTCGTCTAAGTAAGTTTTATTAGAGCATGTGTTTTTGGAACAACAACACTAGTATTTTATTAATGATGTAGAAGACTAAAATTAACAAGCAGATATTTATAACTATTGAATCGACGTCATGCAGGACGCTGACGTAATGTGGCTGAGGGACCCATTCGAAAGGTTTTACCCGAACGTTGACTTCCAACTCTCGTGCGACCACTACTGGTTTAACTCCACCGATCGGAACAACTCGCCCAACAGTGGCTTCAGTTACGCCCGGTCCAACAACCGAACCATCCAATTCTACAACTTTTGGTACGAGAGCCGAGAACGTTTCCCAGGAAAACACGACCAGGACGCCCTCAACATGCTCAAGTTCGACCCATTTGTTGAGGAGATTGGGCTTGGGATGCGGTTCCTTGACACAGCCCATTTCGGTGGGTTCTGCGAGCCCAGCAAGGATCTGGACCTTGTGGTCACAATGCATGCCAACTGCTGTATTGGGATTGGGAACAAGATCCATGACATTAACATGACCATTAATGACTGGAAAAAGTATGCGTCGCTGCCCTATGGAGAGCGCAATGTGAGCAGTAGGTCATGGACTGTTCCAAGAATTTGTGGATAAAAATAAATATATAGCAAGCAAAAAGGGGGCCGAATCTGGACTTCAGGCTCCAGGTGTTGCCTACATGAACAAATGTTGCACCATGTATACGTGAGAAAAATTATATGTACTCTGTCAGTTCAGAATAAACGAGCACCGCTTGTATACACTTACCTATAAACATTTACATTTGATATTAGATTTGTGAGACAAAAAATTGCAATGTAAAAGCCTCCACTTGAGCGTGAGGAAGTCTCCTTTAGTTGCTATAGTAATTTCATATATGGCAAGACATACTGCCATAAGTTCCAAAAAATGAGCATTTTCTCTCTTTCTTTTCCTGTCCATCTCATTTTGGCTCAGGACTGACATAGTGTGGCTAAAACCCCTCCTCACCCTTCTACAGAGACACAAACTTCCAAATATCGTGCGACAGTTTGGTCGGAACCTAACCGACCTGCAGAATGCACCCAATGGAGGTTTCAATCATGTAAAATCAGCAAAACAGACAATCAGGCCTACAAATTCTGGTATGAGGCGCAAAAACATTATCCGGGAAAAAATGACCAGGACGTGCTCAATAAGATAAAGTTCGACCCCTTCATTAGGGCCATTGGACTACAGATCAAGTTTCTTGACACGGTTTATTTTGGGGGCTTCTTCCAGCCAAAGCAAGGACTTGAACCTCATGTGCACGATGCATGCAAACTGCTGTGCTGGCTTGGACAATAAGATTCACGATCTCAGGATTTTTGCTACACAAATGGAGAAACTATTCACCTTTGCTGAAAGATGTGAGGAAAGCAAAGCCACCTTCGTGTTCCATCCTAGCTTCCTCTGCATTTATTGTAACTAAGAAAGTTTCACCCCTTACATTTATTTTAAAAGAAACTAATATCAACTGTAGGGGCTAATGCTTTTTTTTTTTTCCACAAACTTGTAGACTGCATTCATTTCATCATCATAACTAAGAAAAATGGAAACAGAAGGAAATAACTAACATATATGCATTTTCCAACTGCAGACATACTGTTGATTTCTTGCCTATCTTGTTTTTATTTTTATTTTATTTTATTTTATTTTTTTTTTCTCACTCAAAATGTATGTAAAATAGCAAACAATGAATCTTGTTAGCAAATATTCGGTTAAATAACGGGAACTCTTTCCACACTAAAAATACAAAGAGAACATTTTTCAATGCAAGCACATTGGGTACCTAGTTTCAATCCGACTCATACTCTGAAAGCAAATCGTGCTCCATCTCATTTTCCGACTCAACAAATCCAGCAGACCACTCTCCACCCTCACAAATCCCCCTTTCCCTCCTATACAACCCCCGGCTCCTGTCCAAAAACCCCTTTCTCATCATGCACGCGTACTTCTCCCTAATCTCCCCCAAAGGATGCCTCTCCACCATCAGCCCTTCTCGATCATACGCCTCCCTCAGCACAACTGTCTGCACGCCCCCTTTTCTCGACAGGTAAAAAATCCCCGGATGCCTCTCAAACACCTTGGTGAACTTCTGTGGCATTCCCAGTGGGCCCCGCAAATTGCTCAAATTCCGCCTCTCTGTCCTCCCGAGCACCGTCAGGTGCAGTAGCTCGTGGAAAACGCCCACGACCCGTTTCTCGGACTCATCCGTCCTCGGGTCAAGGTGGGACCAATCTGCGTAGGGGCTCGTGTAGGGAAGTTTCTGCCACTCGTCCAGCCACTGCATGCATTTCCTTTTCAGCCCAAAACCACGCGTGAAACGTATGGGAAAAGCCAGTGCCTTGCAATCTCTGGCCGGGTCTTTCGACTCCAAATGCGACACAGCCAGATGCTTGTCCCAAGTCAGGAGTTTCACCCCGACACGATCGTCCGGGAGTTTCACCGAGGAGAATAAATCGGGCCTTTCGGCGACTAATGTGGTCTCGTAATCGTACGGAAGCCCCAGATCCCATCTCAGCTGGTCGATGGTCTGTAAAGGGAGCAGTCTCTGTTTCGTGAGCATGAGCAGTTTTTGCAGCCTGCTTAAGATATCCGCATAACAGCCATTGTAAACCAAACAGGTTTCCTGGTGGTGAATTTCAGAGGCCTCGGAGGTGAGCTCGTACCAGGGAACGGGGGTGCCGCTGGAATCGGGGCGGTAGAACTCGCGGAAAATGTTGGGGTAGCGGCGGATGAAGGTGGAGAGTTTGAGGTCCGGCGGGAGGCCGAGCTGGCTGCGGCACCTGGAGAGGCAGTAAATCGGAAGGGCGAAATCGGGGTTGGAGGCGATGAGCGAGATGAGGGTAGAGGCGGCCTTGAGGTGTAGGGCGTTCGAGACTGCAGTGTCCAGAACGGGGTCCTTCACCCACTTGAACTTCACGTTCACGAGATTCCGATTCTGGATTTTGATGAATGGCGGGATGCGTGTGGCGGCGAAGAGCTGGGTTGGCCTTCGCCGGAAGATCATTTTCTATGACACAATTCATCGAACATGTCGGGGGCAATTGAAGGTCGAGCCACACTACACATCGAAGGCGCACAGTGAACCAAAAGAGTTCAAAAATTCGCCCAATAACATATATCGGCCGGTTCAACGAACTTGCATTTCCAGTTTAGAATTGACTCGTCGGTTCCAAGTTGAACCAAAATTTAAACTACAAACAAGAAGACAACGAACTAAACTAGTTGAAAAAACCAGCCAAACAACTCAAAAAATATATATATATATAAGCTTGATATGTTTTATTTTTTTTATCAATCAAAAGTAACAATAACAATAATCAAACCATGTACATCAAATACTTGGTAATAGTATTTTATAATGAGGTCTGTCTAATAGAACATTTCTCCATATTATGAACATCGACATTATATGTTAACTCTGTAACTTGTGTTGCATCTAATCTGTGAAGATCAAATTCGTTAACTAAATACCAAACCAATTACAACCAAAAAAACAAAGACCAAAACAAGTGCTCTCTAAGTACTTTAATTAATACAACCTAATCTGGCAATTCAAAAAATAAAAACTGCAATGAAAGCTTACATCACGGAAAGGTTCTAACCAGGTGCTTTTCAAAATTTGCATCTCTGCAGAATATAACTAGCCAAAAAATATTGAAAGGAAACGAGAAAAGTCAACCAGATACTAATTTCACCAATGACCAATGAGCCCAGAAATAGCCAGGTTCAGACTGCTTCAACTTTCAATTTCCCATAGCAATAACAATGAAGAATTAGTATATACAAGCTTTAGTGTAATCAAGTAACTGTTTCATCAATACACAACAAGTAGTACTCACAAAGACTGTACCTTTGTCTATTACAGCTTCAAACAACTATGACCCTACCAATAAACAAATGCTAAAAAATGAAAGCAAAATCAACTAGTAACATCCCTAACCCAACAGTAATCAAGCTTCTTAACTAGATACATAATACATGGGCGTAAAGCTAAATAATCTGAACACAAAATATAATTATGTAACAAAAGAACAACTTCTATACAAAATCACTTAACTAGAACACAACAAAAAACTCCCACAGTGCAATTTGATTAGAACTAGTGACGGTTAAGTGATGGGTAAAAAACTATAATATTGCATAATGTCTACTTTACCATTTCAAGACGATTCACAGCAAGCTCATTTTCAAACAAGAAAAGGATCCCACCAACTTTTCAAACAAGAAAAGAATCCCAAAAATTCTTGCATAATGTCTACAAATGCCTGAGCAGAAAACAAAAGTGCTAATGTTCGAATACTTCCCATTACAGGCAAAAACTGAAACAATTTCATATCACAAACTGAAATTACCTCTTGAAATTACATATTCACCCAAAAAAAATCATGTTCCCTATCAAACCTAAATCACAGAATTTTAGCAGGTAAGAGTGTAAGACGTGGAAACTTACATCCTCGGAGCTATGACCGTGAGCCTATGACGTTCGTCTCGCACCAATGGGCAATGGCGACTGGAATGGCGACGGACAGATGGATACGGGAGAGTGAAGAGTGGCGACGGGTCGATGGCGACCGCAATGGGCAACGGACGAGGGAGATGGCGATAAGCGATGAGGCGATGTCGATGGTGATGGTGATGAGAGATGGACGATGGTGATGGTAATGGCGATTGCGACGGGCAGCGGGCTAGGCCGCTAGGGTTTTTAGGGGTAGAGAACGGGAGAAGAATGAAGAAGGAAATGAAATGTAAATTATTTAGTTTTTGGAAGTATAAATATGATAAGTGGAATGAAATAATAAAATGACCAACCCTAAAGTATATACAATGTAATTGGACCTCTAAGGGCTATTATGTAAATTTACATATATAACGAGCTGCTCGTCGAGCAGCTCGCGACTATGAAAATGGGGCTCGAGATCGGCTCGCGAACGGACTCGAACTGCTCGAGCTCGACTCGAGCTCGAGTTTGACCGAGCTCGAGTCGAGTTTTGACTCGAGCGCTCGCGAGCCGCTCGCGAGCAGCTCGGTTCGTTTGCAGCCCTACGGCTGATAACATATATCGGTCAGTTCAACGAACCGGCAATTTCAGTTTAGAATCGACTCGATGGTTCCAGGCTGAATTAATAAATTAAAATAATAATTATAATATGTAAAAAATAAAAAAAATAAAATAAAAAATTTGTTGAACTGTTGGTTCTAGTTCCGGTGGTTCAGATTGTGAAAAATCATAAACCAAAAAGAAGCTCGGTAAAGTCATGAGACGATTCAAGACCCGTCGTCAACAGACATGACAGGGCCCAAATGCTCTGGAGTGATCCAATCCTAGAAGGAAAGAATGCTTGCACGCTTTTTTCCTCCTTTGGAAGGGAAAGGACATATTGTTAATCTGCACAATTAGACCTTTTGGGATGCTGGGATATTAAGGGGGACAGTATGGCTGGCAGTAGGGCACATCCTGTGGTTTGCCTCACGAAGTATCTGAGGGGCTGACTACAAGAATCCACAGACGTAAGCATGAAAAATAAAAATAAATAATTAGTTATTCTATAGAACAGTAAAAATAGCCATTTAGGCGTGTCAAAAGTCATATTTACCCTTACACTTTATTTTGTACTCAGGCCATCTCCAGTCATTATCTCTACTCTAACGCGGACTTTACTCTACTCTAGAGTATAGCGAAACATTCGTGTCCAGCCATAATCTCTATATTTTACTCTACATCAAATATATATTTTTTATTATTTTTATTTCAAATTAATTGGTATATATATATATATATATATATATATATATATATATATATATATGTTTATTTATACTTACTTCATCTCTAGTCATTCGGGATATATTTTACTACATTAATTTTTTTTTTTAACTTCAAATAAATTCTAATATATATGTATTATTGCATATTTTATTAGTATATATTTTATCAAAATAATATAGTAAAATATATCATAAAAAGAAAAGAAACATCAAACTTCAACCAAAACATAGTTAATACATAAAAATTACATTAAGTATTACATTAAAATGCATAATATATATATATATATACAAAACAAAAAGCTTAAAAATTATTACCTTAAAACACATAAATATATATATTATATATATGTATAGAAAACAAAAAAGCTTAAAAAATATTACCTTAAAACACAATATATATATATATATATAGCATAACAATTACATATATGTAATACATTTATGTATTACATAAAAATATACAAAAAAAAAAGAAAAATAATGTGGCGCATGAATAGTGTTGTGCTAGAACGGCGTTGTATATTTCTCTA